GCGGTGTGACCATGCAACCGCAATCGTGGTCATATTTAGGACATTTTCGAAAACAAATTTGAAAATTAAACAAATTCATGATTAAGTTGAGTTTATATTCCAAAATCTATCCAAACAAACGGACTTAAAAAAATATGAATAACTTTATAGACATGTGCTTTAAGAATAGGGTTTTAACTTAATTTTTTTCGCCGTGCAACAGCCACAAACGTGGAACGAAAACAACCAAAACCGCACAAAAGATGGTGTCGATGATGCTGCTTGGTTGCTGCCTGCTCCGCGATTCCCTGCCGCCTGAAAACTTTACCATCTCTTTGCCACAAAGCCTGTCGATAGCTCGAGATGTTGATCTTGCAAAGCGCAGAGACAAGCAGCAACCACAAACTCCGACTCCGAATCCCCGACTCCAACTCCAAACTCCAGCAACAATAAATGGCCAGAGGCAGCCAAAACTTGTTTTGCCTGTAAAAGGGAGTTGTCGCTGTTGTTGTTGCTTGTGCATTGTCTTTGCGTTTTGTTTCAGGTTTCAGGCAAACGCCAAGAACAGGCAAAAACAGCGCCATAACAGCTATATGAAGCAAACTGCAGCAAGGAGCATTGAGGGAGCTGTACTGCTACCCTCTAAATAAACGATATTTGAGGACAGCTCAAGTGGAGTTTAACTAACAAAAGTGTCTTAAAAATTTCTTTAGGGAGCTAGAGAAACTAATTATAAACGATGTTCTTAAGAACAGTAACCCATACCATTCCTATAAAAAGCTAATGCTGTTCTTACTCAAAAATCAATAGTACAATTAAGAGCCTACAAAGAAGGAAATTAAGTATTACTTTTTCCAATTATTGTCAATTTAACTTCAAAGACAGCGTGATGGAGCATGCTTTTTAGCTTGCTTAATTGCTCCAATTAAACGACATTTTCAATATATCCTTTTGCAATTATCGGCCACTTTCAAAGTTCATCTTCGATGAAAATGACCCATGAATAAATGATGGCCTAATGGCGGGCACCCCATCCCAAAATCAATAACGCACATCATGTTCAATGGCAATGGATGGCCAAATTAGGCGGACATATTCCATTAGGATTAGTTCATATATATATACATATCTCCAACCCAATCCGTAAATCACGCTCCGAATTCCACACATAACCCGATATACCTTGTAGTACCCTTTTATGGTCGATGTTTTTGGAGGAGCGGAATAAAGCTCGTAGGAGGAAAATGCAGCGCTGAAGATGTGTCAAATGTGTGGGCGGGCGGGTGGTTGAGCGGACAGCACGGACAGACGGACGGATAACTTACGTGCAGTTTAACGGTTAATGCAAACGAAGACGACATTGCGTTGCGCATATGGCATATAGTACAGTACAGAAAAAAATAAAGACAGAAAACTGAGACGGACCAAATACGGCGGACAGGCACGTAGAGAAATATACTCGAAGTCGTACCAAAAGCGGCCATCAATTCCTTCTTTTTGTGTATTTTCTTTTTTTTTTTTTTGGTCAAGAAGAAAGGGGCAAACAAGTTGTAAGGCGAGCAATGAGTGCAGACAAAAGCAGTTACAAGACATGAAGAAGAAAGGCCGAGGGGTAGGAGGGAGAAAAGTAGGAGGTACACAGGAAAAATGTGGATACATTTCAAGTTTGATTAGACACTTATAATGTCAGAGAAGACAAGACATGACCCCACATGGAAATGGTCAACGAAATTGTTAGTAGGATGACAAAAGGCTACTAGAAATGAAGCTTATGTTTCACATAAAACCATGTACCAATATGGGTTTGCAAGAAAAATTTGAGAATTCTTGTAAAAAACAGTTGTTTCCTATGTAACCTTGTATATTCCGTGTATATAAGTAAGTAAAATAATATGTAGCGTATGAAACTTAAGAATTAGCAAGAAATGTGAGGCGTCCCACCGCTATGAAAAACAAGATGATGTTAAGTACACCTTCTACAACGAATTCAATGTCTTATCCAGTTATTAGAATATCCCAAGGATCCTATAATTTGATTCTTGATAAGACTATCTTACAGTGTTCATTATTATGTCAGGGTATTGAGGTATTATAAAACATAGTTTAAATAAAATTTTATCCATCCTCTTTTCTTCACTTTATTTTTCCAGAATTCTCTTTTTTTCGGTGTAGCCCCCATGAATAATGGAGGGCTGTGCTCCGCGTTTTACAGCTACATTGAACTTTTTGAGACGTTTTTTAAGCCACTTGCCTCTTGCCCCGCCCACCGCCTACCATTTTTCGCCGAAATATTGTATGCGGCTTACTACTACGCACACACACACCACGAAGCCTAGTCACACACACTAGCATACATGCGTAGGATTTTGCAGAAACAACTGTGCAAAAAATATGTAAATTACCATGGTAAAACGATGAATTTCTTTCAGATTTCTATGAAAACCCTATGATGACACTTGAAATTCACATTAACTGGGGATTTCACCAAGATGGCAATTGATTTTTCATACGAAAAATGCTGTGCAAAAATTTCTTTTTACGTTAACACCGACACACACACACACACACACGCACGCACACGTACGCGAGCTAGCGTATACCGAGCAGAAAAGTAGCCTGTATGTTGAGAATTGGAGAATCGGAGACTTCGAGCGAGAGGAGCCCGAAAATCAAGAGAAGCGCCGACGACCGCAAGCCAAAGCGTATTGAAACGCGGCTCCAGCATTCGAGCGTTAAAGCCAGGTCCGTAAAATCCAATTGGAGTCCGGAGTCCTCGAAGTTGCAAGAGAGAGAGACAGAGAGAGAGAGAGTGGGAGAGCAAGGCGAGAGAGCGAGTGCGCAACTTGTACTTGTTTCCCCCTCTCTCTCAAAGGAGAGAAAACAATTTTTCTCGGCGGCCAATTTGTTGCAATTGAAACAATAACAATTCCACTGGGCAATTTGTTTCGGGCCTGGCAAATTAGTTAGTTAATAAATGAATGAAAGAGGGCTGGGGGACAGAAGCCGAAGAAAGAGAAATGGGAAAACAAAGCGTAGCTTCAATAAGCAGGCACAGGCCTTATTCCCTAAAGTGGTTGCCATTGGCAACGATGGAAATGCACTCGGCACAGTGGAACATTTCAGGGGAGGTGTGTCTAGTGATAGGATCCTCTAGGACGGAAACCAACTAACAAGTGCGAAGAAAGTTGCACTAGTTTTGTAAAAAGGAAGTACCAAAATTTTATCAGAAATACAGAAGTATTTAAGTTTAAAATTCTTTATAAAACATTTGAAAAATGTTATTTTGGAAATCATAAAGAAACCATAATCAAAGATCATCAAAGATTTACATTAGCTTAGATGTTTTTTTTTTATATGAAAAATTCTAAAATATTTATTCTTTTTTGGAGCTTAGCATTCTATAAAGTAAAAATTACTCCCTATTGATTACGTCTACTCTTTTCAAATACTTTTTTCGAACACTGGAAAAATTCCATTTCAAAATGTCCTACTGAGGTGTAAGGGGAAAAAGAAGTGTACAGGGAATCCGCTTATCTGACTTATGTCTTAAGAATTCTTTCCCATTTTATAACGTATATGAAGTAACTATACATATTTACTTACAGAAAAACAACTTTGCTTCAGGATAATATTTCTGTATATACTAAAGAAGATAAAAGCTATTTTAAGATCATTCAACTTGTACTTATACTTCAAAGTCAAAGGTCCATTGTGAATGAGTAAGCATACTGATTGATAATCCCTTATCTATCCCACTGTGCGTTGAATGCCACAGAAAAGACAAACAAACCGAGCCACACACACATGCACATAAACCAAGCACAACCACTTTTCATGCCGCACAAGCCAATAAGAGAGGGAGTGAGAGAGAGCTCCAGCGGTAACTTTATTTGAGGAGCGCGCAGCTGCCAGGCCGCTCTCTCTCTCTCTCTAATCTCTTGGTGGAGCTATTACCGCCCAACTCTCCTCCCCTCCCCCACCATTATTCTAACACCTCATTGGAGACAACGACATCAAGTCATTTGATTCCCACACAAATCTCTGCATATTGAGCTCGGTCTCTCTCTCTTTCTCTCTCACTCGTTTCATTATGGCAAGTGAGTTATGGTTTTTGTGAGTGTGTGTGTGTGCAGTGCTGCGCTTTCTATTGATTTATATGAGTTTTATGGCGCAATCTGAGCCATAACAACCAATGAGCAAAAGAAAAAAAAACCCAGAGCTCTGGATTTTTATTAACAAGAGAAGAAAAATTATGCAAAAAGAGGAATAATAATATAAAAAAAAAACAATAAAATAAAAGGCCATTGTTTTTATTGCACCCCCACTTCTCACGACCAGAGTTGTCACGTGCCGTTAGAAATGCCAGACACGTGTTGGTTTATTAATTACATAAGCCTAAACAGCTGCAGCTGCAGTCGTGAGTGCCCCTTCTCCTCTGACTACCTTTTGTTTCCTCTTTTTTGGAAACCCAATTTCCTGCAGATGCTAAAGATGCCGCATATATTAAAAGGCGCAGCGAAACAGCTGGCAACCCTCAAAAGTGACAGATGGCGACGCCGACGTCAACGCAGGCAGCGCAGGACGAAGGCGGCATCAAAATAAAAACACAAAAAAGAGTTGCCGCCTAGGCGAAATGTCATAAAAATACTATACTGCTTTTTAAAACCTTAACTAATTAAAGAAACACAAAGTAAGAACTTACTTAATTAGTAAAAATTACTGTTTTCCAGGCTTTGTCTAAGGTTTCGCCTCCCCTTCTCCTTTCTCTCGACAAATCGCATAAATCACTAGCGTAACCAAAAGCTGGCACACAAAATGTAAACAATGTAAAATGCTCGTAATTGTTGCTTTTGTAGCTTAATGAATTTCACGTTTTTTATGGCCTTTTCCACAAAAACAGGAGACAAACAAACGGCACAAAACGCACACATACACCGAGAAACTCACTGTTTGTTGTTGTCTTTATTTTATGTCTGCGACGCGCGAGTAAAACATAAAAACCAGATTAATTTCAGGCTAGGGATGCAAAAACATCGATGTCACTATCGATACTATCGATGTTTTTTAAAACAGCGATGTATCGATGCTTTTTTTCGAACATCGATGTTATCACTAAGAGATACACACGCAAAGCAAGTGGTACGTAAATTGGGAAAAAGTGCACATTTTTCCATTTTATTAAGTATTGTTACAGTTTGATACAGGTAAAACATATTAGGGCGGTTCCTCTCGGCACAATGGACAGGTTTCTGCACATAACAAGTAAGTTCCAGTCGCAGCAGTTGTTATTTCATAATTTTAACACTGTATTGCGTTTTAGACCACGTGTCTGCTGCTTCGTCGTCTGCTCCAACGTCTGCTGCTTCGTCGTCTGCTCCAACGTCTGCTCCAACGTCTGCTGCTTCGTCGTCTGCTCCAACGTCTGAACTGAAATAATGTGATTCCATTTTTCTTTATGATTTCGTTAAAATATGTATTAAGATTATGCTTTTTTATTTGTTTCTGAAAATATTGTTGTTGTTTTGTTTGAATAAATATAAGTTTATAATAAGTTTCATAAAAACAATATTTTAATTAATATTTGGAGGGTTTTATGGTATATATTCATAAATTGAAGAAAATTTCGATGTTTTTAGCGAAATTTCGAGGTTTTAGCAAAATTTCGATGTTTTCGCGAAATTTCGATGTTTTAGCGATATATCGATGCTTACAAACATCGATGTTGAAAACATCGATGTACTCACTATCGATGTTTTTGCATCCCTATTTCAGGCAGACGAAAATGTTGACGGTTTTTTCTTCGCTGGTTTCTTTTGAGCTGTATTTCTTGCTTAGCTGTTGTTGTTGTTGTCGCGACTGCTCTTTATTGTTTGCTGAGCCGCCATTTTCTTTCGTTGTAATTACTTGAGTTTTTTTTTATTTCAATCTTTGATATTTTGAGCACCTTTTTTCAAGTATTTATAAGCACTTTAAACTTGTAATATTTTATAACAATGTATTATTTCGTTTTTTGAAAACTAACGACAATTTAACGGGTCTCCGCGACAGACGTCCGAACGGCGGAAAAATAAAACAAAAACAAAACCTGGGGATAGAGATGAGAAAACATCGAGGCATCAAGATATCGATATTCCAAAAAAAATCTAGAAATATACTTTTAATACCATATTTTATTTATTCAAATATTCACAAAATATATCAAGTGGTCACACTGAAGCAATCGATTTCTACAAGGATAGCTATCGGCGGCCTATTTAAATATACATGCATAAAGGTATGGTAAATCAAGCAGACTTGATAAGTCGGTAGAGTAGTTTCTTGCCAAAATGTTTATGTTATTTAAACAAAAATGAAAAGCCTTTGAGTAAGAGCTGATTAAATTTTTTAAGTGCTTTTAGGAAGGATAAACTTAACATTCAAAAAGTATGAGACGAATTCGACATTAATCGCAATAACATAATTATAAACTTGCTTTCATCCCACATTTCGTTTTCAAGATATCTGCTAAACACTAATATTTTCTTGCTCAGGACAAAAATATTGTAATCCGACATTAATGCGATATATTTCAGAATTTTTGTTCAGAAATTAAATTTTTATAGATATACTATTTTTTGATTGGGTTTTAACTTATAGAACTCATTGGCTTTTTATAAAATATGTTTAAAGAAAAATAAATAGGGGTACGTGTCTAATGCTGTATCGCATTTATTTAACTTTATATTCTCAACGTTGATTGATTTCCTCCAGCCCTAGTAAACGGTAAAGTACCAACAATTTAAAACTTTGAAGTATTTAAATACCGAAACCAAACAGTGTTGGAAAACCGTAACACTTGGCACGCCCTGCAACACCTGGCCTTCTGGTATATTTCTGTGCTGTCACTTCGCGTTGCTTCTTTTCGTTTTCATCTTGACTTTTACGCTGAGGCTGTCTCCCTTTTTTACTGACTTACGTTGGCTTACGTTGCGACACTTACGACGCATCTTGCGTCAAAACGAAATAAACGGAGGAATAGCAATGTTAGTTTTAATTCGTTTAAGCCATTAAAATTAAATTAATTAAAATTAATTAATTAATTAATTAATTAAAAGAGTGCGAGTGCCAGTGCCTTAATTAAAATGTATGTGGCGCACTGATTGCCTGTAATTTAAATGTTTCGTGTTGTCTGATTTGTCACTCAGTGTTTTTTTGCGGCGTTTTGTGCGTAAAATTTGTGGTTAAACAAACTTAAGAAACTAGTGTGAGTCAAACAGTAATCTTAAGCTGAATTATAAGTGCTAAAGTTAAAAAAGCGGCGTCTTAAGTGAAAAATGCTAATGAGTTAAAACAGGTTGTCGACTCTCCCGCTGCCGCTCTCTCTCTTGCGGCCCCTCGCCACTCTTTCTTGCTCATTTGTTGCACTGTTGTTGTTGCCAACTGGGTACTTTTAACAGTTACCTTGGTCAATGTACGGCATTAATTACGCTCAAAAAGTAAAGTACTCAGATGCCAAGTAAATAGGGGAAGAAAGAGAGGACAGGAGTAAAAATAAACTAATTTGCACACTCGCTTTGGCGTGCTAATTCCACTTACGTTTCTTCTTGTTTTATTGTTTTGTGGGCGTTTTGCATGATTCATTCGCGTTTGTTTTGTCCCATTCGTTTTGTGCTTGTCTCCGCATTTGGTGCAGCAGAAACAACAACAACTACCTGTGGCATGCAGTTCGCTTTGTGTTTGTGTGTGTGCGTGTGGGGCTCAAATGTCAAAGTTGACGTTTCGTTTTGGGCGGGATTTCAAATCAGATTTCAAAGAGAGAACGATAACGGGAGAGCAAAAGAAGTTGATTTCAAATTCTTTATATTTATCTTTTCCATCAACTTCAAGATACAAATGGCACTTTACAGTCGGACTTCTATGTCACAATCTAAGTGAAAGCTATAAAGAATTGGAGTAAATGAAACTGGTTCCACTTGGAGATTACCTGCTTTTGTCAGTTTGCCAGTAAAATAGTTATACCTATCTATAATAATCTTTCACTTCGCCGTGGAACTTTTAAAAGTCTAGATACATTTTAAGCTTTGCCATACCCTTTTTTATGAGATTTTTACGTATTTTTAAGACCCTTTCTATCTTTTAGATGATAATTTATGTTTTATTTCGCATTCAGTTGAAAGACATGAAAAGTTAAAATAAAGTTAATAGTACTCGTTTTTATATACTTATTTGTTTTGAGTAATTTAGAGCTTAATAAATAATAATATTTATAATCAGATAATTATCTCCCAATATAATTTCCCCTTCAATACGTTCAACTGTAAGCCGCATAATCTTAAACGCATATTTCTTCTTATTTTTGCAGTATTCCGTTATCAATTCGTGTGTCTCTGTGTGTTACGTGTTATCAAATCATTTTAGCCAGCTAGCAAATGCAGAAAATGCCCTCGCAAATTCTGAACGACGGCAGCAGCGTTAGCTTAAACAGCGCCAATATGAACATGGCCAATACGCCCAATAGCATTACGGTGAAGACCGCCTACAATGGCCAGATCATCATCACCACTGTCAACAAGAATATCTCGTATGAGGAGCTCTGCTACGAAATACGCAACATCTGTCGGTTTCCTCTGGATCAGGTAAGGTTACCTAATATAACAAGAATTAAACAATTAACATAATTCGTATTTTACAGCCATTTACCATTAAATGGGTCGATGAGGAGAACGATCCCTGCACCATATCAACGAAAATGGAACTGGACGAGGCCATACGACTGTACGAAATGAATTATGACTCCCAATTAGTCATTCATGGTGAGTTAAACATAATTTCTTTATTTAAAAAATGGTTCAGATTTGAAATTAACTTCCCGAGTTTATATCAGTTATTTATTATAAAACCTGAGCTTGGAACATTTTTATTAATTTTTATTTCCACTCTTTCGAACTCGAAGTTATTGGAAATAGTTTTAATCGTAATTTATTTGTTATAACTTTGAATTATCGATATTAACACACACGTAATCAAAGAAAACAAGGCGTAAATGTGAAATATCTTATAAGTATTTTCCATAACTTTTTTAAATAGAAGCATATTAGTTTAAAATGTCATAAAGACTTATCTAATAAGGTCAGTTGACTTATCGAAGTGAATTTTTGGTATCACGACCTGAAGCTCAACTAACATTAGTAAGAGTTATCTTTTTAAAGATACATTATCTGAAATTGGAGTAGCACCCAGCTTTTATTAAAGGCGTTTGAAAATTCTCCAAGTTTTAAATTATTTTCTACTGCTGCCACAAAGTAGGCAGTAGCCAATTAATTATCCAATGAGGAACGCATTCCCTTGTAGCTTCCAATATTTAACCAAGCCCATAAACATTTAAGCCTGATTAAACAATGTGAGAGCGCAGCTCGTCCTATTAGCTCAATAAACTTGAGTTTTCCTCGTGAGTTTTCCCGACTGCCTTTCTGCTTTCCCAGCATCCAAAGGCAGCAGCATCCACTCGAGTTAATAACATAAAATATTAATTAACCCGTACACACACTCGCATGCTCGAGAGGCCCAAGTCTTATGGCAATTGCCTTAGGCATGTTTCTCCTTTTTTTTGTTTATTCTTCCGTACCTCCGACTTATTTGCATATAAATTCTGCTTGGATCTTGGCTCGCCGGCCTCATTTATAATTCATTATAATTAAATTGTTTGCTTCGTGTGGGTTTAAGTTTTCGCCGGCTTTTTTGGAATTTTAATTTTCCTGTTGTGCGGTTTTTTGGCGATCTCACTCATACACACTCATCCGAGTTTTGTGCTTAATTATGCTTGCCGCAACAACAAAAAGGTTTCACTTACCACATTCGTTCGGCAAATGACAAACACAAAACCCTTTCGCACAGTAAATTACCAAAAAAAATGTGGGAGTAAGGTTGAAACATAATGAACAAGATGTACACTCTACATTACAGTCTTGATCATATTCTAAAACTTTAATTTAACTGCATTTTAGGGCTTGAGATTTATTTTAGGTTTCTTATTTGATGAAATATTTAGTTTTCTCATAAACCATGTTTAAACACTAACCTAAATGTAATTTTGGGTAATTAAAAAATTTATTATTTATCAATGAACGCTAGAAATGGTATTGAAGATTATCTATTTAATCTATATAGTGACCATGAAGTTGATTCAACCGTATCCTCCCAAAAAGAAATACCCAAAATCTAAAGCCCACTCGAGTTATCCGCATTATCCCTGGTCATTCCATACCTGTGGGCACTCTGTTTTTTCCAAACACGGCTATGAAAAACAAGAAAAAAAGGCAACTAACGGCCCAGCAGATATGATAACTGCCTGCCGCACTAAACAAAGTTGGTCGAGTAGAGGTGGTCTGGTGGAGAGGGTGTTACAGTTTCCGCTTCCCTTTTTATGCGGCTTTGTTTTTGTGCTGTGGACCAGGCTTCCTGATATTTTGTGGCCATACCCCCTTCATATCTCCACATGAGGAATAATAACAGTGTGTAGGGACGGCATGTTAGTTGTTGTTACACCCGATACTTGTAAAAGGGTATATAGTTCTATTGAAAAAGAAGTGGATCTCAGCACAAAACAATTTTTTTTACCTAGTCTCAAGTGTAAATTTGATGTGCATGTAATTAAAACACAGATGTTATTCGCCTGAAGAACCATTTTTTTTCCAAACCCAGGAATATCCCAAATTTCATAACGATCGGTCTAATATACATAATTGTCACTAGATCGACTTATTTTGGCTTCTTCACTACATATCACTTGATTATATAATATTATTGCAGAAAAGCAAACAAAAAGATTTGTAGGTAAAATTTACCAAAATAATAGTTAAGTGGTCCCTACCCATCAAATTGTTATTGTAGTTACTATCCCAACATTTAAATACATAAATAACTATCTGGATTTGTAAATTGTACCCATATATCACCATTGTTAAGTAGATCTGCAATAAACTCACATAAAGGGTCAAGTTTTTTTTAGAATTCCAAGGCGCATCCCAAGTTTCAAAAAGATCGTACAAATATTATGGGAATAAGATCAATTTTAATTGACTACTTCATTGCTTAATCCCCAAAAA